ACGAAGACGACAATTGTAGAAAACCCTACATTTCACACCCCTTTACAAGTAGACAGAGTCAGCGGCGTGAGAACGTACCGTCCATATATGACGACATTGGAGGCCTTACAAGATAAAGAGAAAAAGAAAAGAAGGAGAAAGCTGTGTTGTATCATCATTGGTATAGTTGCAGTTTTACTAATTTTCGGTGCTGTTGCTGTGGCGCTGGCGTTTACAGGTAAGTGTCTCAACGTCCATACACAAAACACGTTACTCGCGCGCATGCAATATGCCTATTTAACAGCACACATTAACAACCGGCTATGCATATACATCAGCAGGATTATAATATTATGATAATACACGTAGCAAGCAAGTTGATATTTATATTAAATTAAAATAATTTTGGTTGACTCGACTGGATCGTGGAGCTGATCAGGAGGAGTATTGGTGTCGTGTTGGGCTTTAAAAAACAGTTGAGCAGTGTTGCCTCGTATGTATTGGTTCAACTGTTGAGGTTTAAGCTGCTGTGCCCTCCATACATGAAGCCATATTTAAATACACGGTAGGCCTAATCCATCGTAGTAGCGGGTTGACAGTTGCCTTAGTAACGTTTGATCTCGTGTAGGTGTTTGATGAACGTGACAATGCACGCGTAACAGGTGGCATTTCATTAGACATTTAGGCGCCATAATAAGTCACATTGAACGAATAATGCATACCACCATAATAATAGGCCCTATAATGAGACCATTGTATTTGGGCGTATATGTTTATAATATGACTGTGTTTATTATGTAGGACACTTACTTTCCTCCCGCGGATGAAACGTGGAAAGCCTTGTCCCCATAGAGGGATGGGATCCCCACACGGTTTATATAAATTCTTGCATCCTCACCGGTTTATGCCTGCTTCGGTTTTTCTTTCCTTAGTCCTCTGTGGATGGGCTTATATTAAATCGGTAGGAATGTTATTTTGATGAATTAATATTAATTGGTTTCCAAAAGTTTATATATGAGCATCACATGTGGAACGCCAAAAGGGCAATTCCCAACAATAGTAAGTTAATGCTATCGCGAATGATCCGTTTGGTTAATTACAGCGGCGTATTTAGGGGTACTGGGGGAGGGGGAACGCACGCCCCCAAAAATATTCCCCAAGTCGCCCTTCACCTAATCATTCAAGTTCAAGTTGTTTTATTGTGTTCCATACAACATAAAAATGTATAAAACAAAATTGGTTGCTGGAATGAGGTGTAGAAACCCCCTCCACTTCACCTTTGCGCCTCCATCAGACCCCCTCTCATTTCAAGACTTCCAAGTACGTTACTGGTTCATTGCTCAATGAATGTTCGATCAGATTAATTCATTATGGAAGAACCTCTGCAAATGAAAGATACGGTAAAAGATAGGCCAAAGATATAGGCTAGCTAGCCTATGCCTACTGTATATTGAAACACCTAGACTATTGAATACGGTACAGTACTAATATTTTAATCATCATTGTACATTTTCTAAAGCCGGGCAATTACTGTGTCGTACGACGGTCGTACACCGTCGGCTGACGAATCCAACCAACTCCGCTCCCTGTGAGCGTTTGACGACGTGACGCCGTTTGCTGCATCAGTGACAGTCTGACAGATCCGTTGTGCTTGCGTAGTGGCCTACAACCGTCGGGCGCAGTAAGTGTTTGGCTTAAGTCGAACATTAATGGTAAAACTCCGAAATAATAAATAGACACACGAAAGGAATCTAAGATAACTGCTTTAGGCCTATACATCCAGACCGAAAATTTGTTTCAAATGTTTTTCTTTAATTAGAGCTTTCTTCAGAGGGTTCGAGTCAACATCTTATGAAGGAGACGTGATGCATCCGAAAGCTTACAAAATATAACAAATTAATAAATTTAAACTACTTATTAAATTGCTATTATGATAAAACCGTTACTATATTGCAGTTACCATCTTTATTGTTTAAAATATTTTTTCTGCATTAATGTACATGAAGTATCATTATACAGTACAACTAACGTGTAGCGACATCTTTTAGCGATGCGGATAAATTACTGCCACATTGGCGTCACACGGCGATTCGCGAGAGAACACGCATAATATGAAGCCATAGTCACTTTAGGCAATGTAACTATTCTGTATAGCCATACTGAAACACAATCCATCGAGGGGGACGCATCTTTCACAAGCGTTTATTGTTCTCTGAGTTTATTGGAAGAACACGGTTGCATATTAAAATAGAACTACGAGGAACCAGACAAGAAATTCGATTTAATAGATTCAGGCCTACTATTTATTAATGATAATGATAGCTGTTGAAATAATTTCATCTGGTTTGGTTGTGTATTAGGTCAAATAAAAACAAATTTAAAATTCATTTTAAAAAACAATTTAGGTGGGGTGGTGACGCTTAATAAGTATATATCCTGATGGGTAAACTTCGTCCATCGAACTAAACCAAAAATTATAGGCCTACGTACTTGCAACGTTTCGCGTGGTGCTGTCAGCGACACTTCACTAGACAATGCTAGTGGGGTGGTACGGTATTGGTTACGGGAGATGGGGAGATTACGACCATCACTATATTAATACATGATGACAATGACGACAACAACATATTAATCAAGTTGATAATAATGACGGTAATAATGATAACGACAGTGATGATGATATTGATGATAATGGATGAAAAGGTCTTGATTATAATAATGTTGAAGATTACGAAGGTATTATGCCTAGTATTTATGATGGCGATGACGCTTAAATGATTATAATTATTTGATACAGAACAAGCAATGATGAAAGATGAAGATGTTATTGTTAGTGTTGCGATCTTCAGGGCAGCCGAGAGCGAGTAGGTCGGGCCATTTGGAAGCACAGCTGCCGTGGCCCCAATGGCTAGATTCTAAGTGGCCGCCTGGGGGTCCAGTGATGTTGGGTGGCAGGGCCCAGGTGGAAGGCTGAGGGCTAATCACTCAGAAGCCATGGCCTTTTTGATATTTAGATAATTTAAATGATTATACAGAAGTAGTCAAAAATTGATTACATTTCATCACTCACTATTTTGTTCATCATAGACTCCCGGTGATGTACTGTATATAATAATATTGTTTTTTGCAATAACATTTTTTTCTGTATGACTACGATATGATGTTTTATAAATGTCATTAAAATGATACTTATTTGCATTAATTGAATTAATATGAGTGACGTAAGTGTAAATATCCAATGACCATCTTTCATGTTTATATTTATTTGCAGTATTCAATAAAACCTCTGAAATTGAAGAAAAGAATATACCATCAGCTGTTCCGTCAAGCATTCCATATAACCTCCTCACAACATTGTATCCAGGTATGACACAATTTGTACCCATAGGCCTACACACACGAAAAGGCAGGCTTTCATCTGATATGCCACCCCACCCACGTTGACGACGACGATGGCAACGGTGAAGAAGACAACGACAACTATGGAGCGATGACGATAACATAATGGAAATGATAACGGCAATGTCGCTTACCGTATATGATCATCATGCGGCTGTTGCTACTGATGATGACGGCGACGATGATGACGACGACGATGATGATTATGATTATGCCGGCGATAATGCAAATTGTTGTGCTTGTTTTTGTTGATCTGATCAGCGACACTTAAATGAGGCAATTGTGTAATATCGGCAAAACGGACTATACATTTTATAATTAGTCGCCAAAATAAACCTATAGGCCTAATTACAGCCCTAATTAATGACATAGTGTACTGACCTGCCAAATTAGTCTCTTTAATTTTTTGGAAATATGTTTCGTATTTTAGATTTCCCGGAAGTTAATATATATCATTGTAATTATTGGATGCGTTAAAATTCTTGTCGCTTTTACGGAAGTTACCAACATTAGTTTTTAGAATGTTATACAACTCTGAAATAACTCTAAAGGTAAATTCTACTCGTTAAATTATAGTTACTCGCTGTTTTCAAATAGAGGACGCTACAATATTATGTTGTAATCTAAAGAATGTAATTTTGACGTATTGTAAAACAACACTTTAATAAGTGTTGTTTCCTGCTTGCGTTTTTGTGACACGACATTCGTAGCATTCTTAATAGTTTTCATATCATTATTTCTCTTAATTTATGAGGAGGTCATGTATGTACGGTATACCTATATAAAAGGAGTTGACTTTGAAATAGACTGGGGTAAACCGGCTCGGATAACACGTTCCAAGGAAATCTCATATAACACTTTTCGAGTGTAAAAAAAGTGTAAAAATTCTGATTTTTACGTTGTTTTACTGGTCGGAATGCACCAGGTAACACACTTAATTCAGGTCTATACTTACGCATTTTGCGCAATATAAATGAATAACCTTTAACCTTTACGAGCGCGTGACCAATCCGCCAAGTCATTTGAGAATAATGTACTCATGAACGTTTACGTTGGTGTATATCAATCCAACACCATTTAAGTTTTATCGCTTAATATCATCAAATGATCGTAATGTTTTATATAATTTATCGAAATATCTGTATTTCGCTTATATAAGAAGACGTGATTTACTTTCTTGCGTTCTCTTAATATTACTAAGGGCCGGAGGCCTAAAATACAAATAAATGTCCTAGACCATAGGGGTCTAGGAACGAACGAACGTAGGCCTATATCAGTTTATGAAATATGCCAATGCAACGCATAAATTTGACCATTGTTTCTAATTTGTTAATGGGCTTCGAATAGTCGTCTTCTTTTAGTAATTTGATCGGACAGTCTGGAAATCAACAACTCTATAAATGGAAATCATCGCGATCTTGTCATTGCAATTTGTGTTCAGTTCCTGCTAAATTTATCATTAAAGGATCCTGTGTTGTAATATTGATATTTTACTGCCTATTTTGAGCCTCCATGTCGATAATTCAATCCAGATATGCTAGCTAACTCCGCTTGAGCTTCGTCCTCGGGTTTCCAAATAGTATGCCGACAACGCAGGCTTCATGCTGGGCCGAAGACATTTTTCTGCCATGACCAAGAGTAGGCTATTATTGATGGCGATAGCTTACTGTAATAAATATGTACACAAGTTCACCATGAGATTAGATCCCCAGAATACCTAGGCCTAATCGTTCATATCAATTAACTTTGCTTTCATATCGAATAAACAGCTCCTTATAGAATACACGACCCCCTCAAAAACCCTTTTCAACAATAAAGGCCGGGGCGATTATTCGAATAAATACGGTACCGGTATCTATTAGCAAAATTATGGCAAGATGTACCTGTAATAACATTCTTTTTAACTTTCATGAACATAAATGTCTGATATAAGTTCTACTAGATTGGTATAAGAGATGATCAGATTATCAAAAAGTACCGAATGCAATGCGAATAAAGGAGGCCTATTGACTAAATGTACTTGGATTGAAGTAGAAGAAGGACTTAAAAAGGAAAGACGGAGTTACATATGATTTATCGTAGTCCTATAGGCCTTACGGGTATTAAAATCATATTACGCGGGAATCACTGATTATGTAAACTTCGATTAATTGTAGGCTGTATTAGCCTTGTTGTTATCGACTTTCACACTTAGAAAATCTAAAAAAAACACTAAATTTTATTCTGTAACATGAATTATTGTAGCATGTTTAGTTTTTTATGTTACCGTATGTTGTTACAAGTAATGTGTGCATAGCTGTTCAAACTACCTAGCCTACTGTTTCGAATCGCCAACAATATGACGATTTTTAGCATAAAATTGCATTATTTTTATTTTTTTCAGACACAAAAGACATTACAGTTCTCGGTGAAATGAAATTAGATTTAAGGTTTCCTAGACTTCCCAGTCAACGAGAGGATCTCGTAAGGAAATTCATTTTACAGGTAAGCAAAGAGGGTGACGTCAATCTAAACTTTCAAAATATTAAAAACTCTTCCCGGCTTCCGATGCCACAGAGAGAGGATACTTTGGTGTAATCTAGATCCCATCATCCTTTATTTGTTAGTTATTCTGGTTTTTGAATAAAATCCTCATTATTTTGACTTTTACCCCAGCTTCAATTTGTTCTTATTTTAAGCCTCGGTGTTTTTATCAAAGTGTTCTTATAAAAAAAAGAAGTGTATTCGGCATCAATATGTTTTCGGGGGGGGGGGGGGGGGGGGGGGGGGGTTGTCAAGTCACAGAGTTTCTACAAACCACAGTACAACATGTTACTGACCCATCAGGGGTATATTCTGGACCGAGTACGGTAATACAAAACCACAGTCCACAAGTTTGGTCATCTTGTCACCTTTATAATTAACTCGTAATCGTATGTAAAATCTTCATCAACTGTAAATCTTGACCAAATACCTACATCGATTGTTATCTTAATAATGATGGCTAGTTAAGCTACACGTCCCCTCGAGGGAAGTAGTCCGCCAATGCCTTTAAAAGTCAAATCATCCAACGCGCATTGGATTGAGTCAGGCCACCGAAAAGCCAACGGCAAAAAAAAATAATTAGAAATAACATGTGTTGTTTGTAAAAGCATATGGAATATGGCAAGTTCAAATTGAAACTTTGTTCTTAATTTTAAAATTTAATACAACACAAATGCTCCCCTTGACATCGTGCAATTTTGAAAAAATGCTTATTTTTGTATTTGGTAAACTAAAAGTGGATTTTATTAGGCCTATTGTATAATGATATATATAATCATAATAGATTAAATCACAGGTAATCTTAAAAATTATACAGCATAGGCCTAGGTAAACGTCATCAAAGTGTTATAAATTGAAAAAAAAAATCGTTCGCCAAGTCTATGAGTTCGGTTTCGTTAATATACACGTCACCCGAATTGTTACTATATCCAGATCTCTTTGATTATAATTGTCTACATATTTGTACGATAGTCAACAAAAACCACCATCTATTTCATAATCAAACATATGGTGCCATTACTAATTTTGAAATTTACATTTGTTTTGCAGGTAGATAATTTGTATAATGATAGTGAAGTAAAGCAGTACTACGAATCCACTATAGTTAACCAGCTCAGGTACTGAATACATCCGTTTCATTTTATATTCATCATCATATCATCGTCATCGTCGTCATCATTGTCATTATCATCAACATTAGCTTCACCATCATCATTATGATCATAATTAAGACCACAACCATCGACACTTTTAAACTGGGTTAGAAGAAGTAAACTATTACCCACCCAGTGGGTATATTGGAGTGGCGCGAAGGTGTAGTGGAGGTCTCGGTAATTGGGCGGCCCTGTAAACATCAACAAATAGACGTAAGAACTACAATTATCTATAACGTACTTTACTGTACTGTACTATTAATTTAATCACAGATAGTGTTCTACGTATAATTTCTGTGATTTAATATACAAAATTTAACGATTTTTTAAAGGCCTGGAAGTGTCTTAGTTAACTTTGAAATACTGATAAAAGAACCAGTACTGAAGTCGGTTGATGCTAATAAATATCGGAAAACGATCGAAGCCATGGAATTATTCAAGCAAGAAACATTGGATGGCCAATTAGGAGAATATCAGCTGTTTCCAGAATCCGTTAAACTGGAGATAAGTACGTGTTTACAAGTCCTTATAAAATGTATTTGTTTATTAATTTACATGTGTTCACGCAACCTGCATTAATTACTAAACATGAAAATCACGTCACTACAGTAGCATGGTTGGCAGTTATTGCTCCATTTATGACATGTACTCGTTTGTTCTATAAATTGTTCCGCCTGTATTGCTTGAATATTTTCAGACCGTCAAATAGCGAGGTAGCATATGTCATATGATTGCAATGTTAAATATTCAGGCCATTTAACATTGACCTACTTCATTAGTGTCATGTTAAAGATAATTTTTATACGTAGGTTGTTTTTTCTATCATGATTTCAAAATACATTTTCAAGGCATGAGCTACCGGTAATTATTCGAGTGCCCTTAAAAAGAGGTGATGGCAATTTTGTTAAACTTCTTTTAAGCTGTATAATTTAGATGTGCTTTTATCTGCTTATGAATGGCATCGGAATCTAAACTAATATGTTATATTTTGTTTTTAAATCTGTAGAAAGAGACAAATATGAAATTACTACGCACAGTCCCGTTGTTAAACCTACTAGCGCACGCGTAGCATCTCCAACACGACCAGTTGAAAGACAAGAAACATCTTCATCTGTGCGGGCGTCAACATCTCACACAAGTACGGAGTCTTCGAATACAGTTCGCCCAACAATACGACAGGTGATAACGACAGACGGGGTTCACTCGACAACAACTGCACGTGTGACTACATCCAAAGCAACAACGTCACAGCCAACGACGACTAAACCAACCACCACATCACAGCAAACAACAACCAAACCAACTACAACGTCACAGCCAACAACGACCAAACCAAGCACGACGTCGAATCAAATAACCACAGAAAAACTTAAAACAACACAAGCACCTACAACAAGGACGACAACACAGGCAACAACGGTACGCGAAACAACAACACATAAGGCAACAACAGAGGCACCAACAACAGTTATAAAGACAACAACAGTTTCGACTACACAAGAATCAACAACAACAGAAGTACCCACGACACAGAGAGTGACGTTAGCACCGACAACAATTGATGTGACTACCACCAGTCAAGAAGTTACGACCGTTGAAGGTCCTTCAACAATACTGGTGGACCAAACTACAACCCAGGCAATAGAAACCACCCAAGGGCAGCCACCGTTCCAACCCACCACGGCTCAAATAGCATCAGTCTCACCATCATCCACGAAAACATCGACAGTGTCTCAGGCACACCACGTGTCATTATCACGTATGTATGGTATTCTCTCTTCCAGGGGTTGCGCCAGCATTTGCCCGACGGGGGCCGAGGTCCCCGACCGGGGGGGGGGGGCGGGTGCGGTGCCCCGACGAGGGGTCAGATTTCCCCGACGAAACCAAAGTGGGCGTGGTCGAGTTTCGATTAAAAGGTTACGAAAGTGGTCCTGGGGGCGAAGCCCCGAAAGTTTTGACAATTTATGGGTTTCAAAGGCTTATTTAATCGATTTTAGTCCAATAATATGTAGAAAATACATATAATTTTTTTTCTTCTCCCCGACGAATTGTGCTTTTTCCCCCGACGGGGGGGGGGGGCTATTGCCCCCCCCCCCCCAGGAATGCCGCCACTTTCGTAATATCGTGGTCTAAAAAGCCCCCCCCTCCGCTGGCGCCACCCCTGCTCTCTTCATACCTATTTTGGGTTTGCACTTATGGCCGATCCGAAAAGTAGCCCAGGCCCTTAACTAGGATTTTTTTGGGGGTTCTAATTTGGAAAAAGTGGAGCCTTTTGAAGATGTTAACGACCAAACCAATTGCACTGACCACATAAATAAGAGTTCCATCTTGAAACTTGTATTAAAAGTTGCTACTGTCTATAAAGATTATTTGAACAGGATTGTTTTGTTTTTTTTTTCTTTTTAGTTTAAGCAATCTTCTTTCGAGATTTCTTTTTTGCCATCCAAGCGGAGCCAGCTAGCAAACGGTGGGGTTCGTCCGAACCCCCCTGGTTACGGGCCTGTAGCCGTGCGATATCTGAAATTTAAAAACATACAGATTAAATTTGTTCTGATTCGCGATCAACCGATGTGTGAATTCTCTTTTACATGATACAGTATCCTGGTCAAGTCGTGTGTGGAAAACATTAGGTCTAAATCACGCAACCTGTGTTTCTCTTGAAAGTTAACAAATAGTGACGACAATAGAAAAATACAACATCTTACTTGCAGTGAAATAAATTTTAAAAACCCGACGATAAACATCCTAACAGTATATATCTTAAATTGTCTAATTGTCTTTAGAAATATGTGTTTATAAAAGCATTTTGTAGCGCATGTACCATGGCACGAACAGTTATACGCCACGCTGTATTTTGACCGTGTATATAACGCTCTTTTCTAGCTGATATTTTTGGTGGATGTGAATCACTTGATTGTTACAACGGTGGCTCGTGTGACGACAGTTCCGGCTTTGCCATGTGTGACTGCGTCGAAGGATATTTTGGAATCTCCTGCGATCAGAGTAAGCTTCTTCTCGAAAATGTTTATTTTATATAGGCCTACTGTACCGTATATGTAACGGGTATAATTATGACTATTAAATACAGGACAGCAATGTAAAAGACAGACAGTAAAGAGATAGTTATATAAAAACATATATATACTTAAAGCCTCATCCATGTAATTGTTTTTCTTTTCTTTTTGATGGTTTTTGTTGTATCCTTTTCCTTTTGTCTCTTCTTATCTGTTTCTTTCATTCTACTTCTATTGGGCATTTATCGAAAGCGCGTAGAGATACTAGTCTATAACCATTACCATTCACAAACACATACTATCTATATATAAATTCCACATTTTTTAGGCGTTTGTGATTTTAAGACATGCGAGAACGGTGGGACGTGCAGACCAGATGGATTGTACAACCATGTATGCGATTGCCCTCAGGGCTTCTTAGGAAGCTCATGTGAAATAGGTAAGAAGACACTTTTTTTTTTGCATAAGTAATTATTTTATTATGATAATCTCCTACTCTCATGTGCATTTATAAGGTCTCAATGTTAAATGATATTTAGATTTGCTGCGTAGCACCGTAGACATAATATAAACAACCTCACACGTTCGTGTTGGCGACACTTTCGTATATTATTATTTACCAATATATACCGTAGTCTATAATAGTTGTCTATTGTTATATTTATCTCTACAGCACTAACTGTTCAGCCGTGTGAAGGTAATCCATGTAAAAACGCTGGAAACTGTACCGCTTATTACGACATGTATTTCTGCATTTGTCCGTATCCGTACGGTGGATATAATTGTGAAATAAACACCGTAGGTATGTATGATCAATGAATTTGTACCAGCTTTTAGAAAAAAAAACCCCACGATTTAACACCGTATGAGTACCAATTTGCTTATAATCTCTAACTACTTTGATAAAAAATAAAACTCAGGATATTCAGTACTTTTATGACTAGTTTATTTATGACAGTACACAAGCTTTCGTGCACACAATGCACTTCATTCACCTGAAGAAGTGCACTGTGTGCACGAAAGCTTGTGTACTGTCATAAATAAACTAGTCATAAAAGTACTAAATATCTTGAGTTTTATTTTCTATTATATATTAGACTAGTACGGCTTACCCGGTATCTATTTTTTACTTTGATAAGTTCAAGTTATGCCTATGTGTTTATTATATCATTTTTGTCATTCTTGAAGTGTATGTGTGTACCAGTGATATCATATTTCTCTTCAAACCATTCAACCTTATAATTTATTGTTTAACGTTGCATTTCATTTAATTATTTTTTTTCCTATTTAGGCGATGGAAACGACCAGAATACACCGCCTCCAGCGTGCCAAGACATTCCATTAGAAGTGTGCCGACAGCATGTTCCGTACAACACAAGTGGTCTGGCTCATCCGTATAGAACGGTCGGTTCACCAGAAGAAGCCAGTGAAAAGATACTTCATTATCGAAGCATTCTGCAAGGCTGCAATTCGAATATTGATAGACTGGTTTGCTTGATATTCAGCCCAGAATGTCCGTTGGAGTCTGGTTTCCCTCGGTCAGCGTGTAGGTTAGTAGTGCAAAATATTTTTTTAGGATCATTTATAATCGAACGTAAAATGAAGTGTATATGAAATAGAACAAAAATGCAACAAAGTTGAAACATTCTTGTGTTTTACATATAAAAAGATGCCTAAGCCTGCCACAAAAAAAAAAACAAAAAAAAACAGACATAAAACACGCAAAATACTATGCAATCAAAAATGTAAATAAGCCTAGAGTAAATTTAAGATAACTATTTAGGCTTATAAAATGTAAATAATACGGTATCTTGACTGCTTCTTTTTGGGGTCAATTTAATGACATAATTAGATGATAATTTTCATTTGATTATTTAAAAAATCTTTGAAATACAGTTATTTACCCTTCCTATTTGAAATCACATTTAACCATGGAACCTAATGAAACACAAAAACCGAAAAAAGTTTGCATTTTATAGCCAAATGTGTGATAATGAAGGTTATACATTCTCAATAATAGTCGTTTTATTAACTTTCAGTAACTATTGTATTGATGAGCTTTTTGGGTGCATGTCTGACATCGATCCGTATACGACAGAGATCAATGATGCAATTATGACATTGTACCAGATATGCATGCAGTTACCAAATACTGAAGAACTTTGCATTGGACCTCAAAACAATACTCAACCTGGTGAGATTACTTGAAAAATACTTAGGCCGTATTCGACTAGTCGTTCTTTGTTAAACGACGCCCACCTGCCCAGTAGTAAAATCCTACTTAACGAAGACGACCAGTCGAATAGGAAACTTGTAAATACTCGACAAATCAAAATGGCTGCATAGTTACCACAATACACGCTGTGTAATCAAGATTGCTTCAGCTTGTGGCAGTATGGTTTTTTCGTTAAAAAAAATTATTTTCATCCAGTTTTTTAATTCTGTTAGCCTAGAATTATTTTTTTACTTCATGTGGGTAAATATTATAATTTTTATTTTCTGAAATTTAATATAAATATTATTAACGCAAATGTTGTTTCTAAACTCACCAATCGGCCATGTTTGTTTTGGTCACTTGAATGACTTAAGGCTGATTAACGCACTCTGGTTTACGTTAATTTTCGTTGTCAACAAAATCTATTTTACGAACCAGTCGAATGAAAATAATACTCAACGAAAATTCGTAGTCAAAGACATGATCCAGTCGAATACTCCCATAGACTACGGTACCCAAAAAATGATGACTGTGTTGATGGGGATGATAATGAAGATAACGTTGATGATGATTAGCCAAACATGACCGACCCAAAATCTCAAAAGTCTAGATTTGCATTTTGGACAAAATATATTTGTTTTCACCCAGAACAAGCCCAAAATACTTTAATGATGTTTAAGGTTTTAGAACAGTAGGACATTTTTTCTTTTTCTTTCTTTTTTTTTTCTTTTTCTTTTTTTTTTCTTTTTTTACCTCCCAAAAAGGGGGCCGGGGCCGGGCCGCCGCTCCCCCCTCTAAATCCGCCCCTGATAATGATGAAGGTGATAATTTCGATAATGATCACAACCTCGACAATCAGTAACAGTGATCGAAGTTTTGATAGGGGCAGGATGGTGACTCCGATGACGACGATAGTGAGATGGTCACTGTCTTTTTAGATTTGATTTAAATTGGAGGATAATGCCTACCACGGCGGAGTTGATATTTTTGTTGGTGTGTGGTTGAGAATTGGAAAGAATTGATGATATATCGTCGGCGACGACGCTTTGGTATACAGTTTTAAATAGTTTTAATGATAATAATTTGATTGGTTTTTCTTCGTGAATAATTTTGTAAACATCTTTTAGTAGGCCTATATTCTATGATGTGCATGTGACATTTTCAAGAAGTATATTACCTAATGTAAAAGCTGTGTATGCTTTTATAATTTTATAGTGTTTTCTTAAATATCAAAACCCATCGATTACGATATCTTTAAAACCATACTTTATGTTAACTGTTTTTTTTTACACAGCTGATCCTTGCTTAAGCGATCCATGTCGTAACGGAGGAACATGTATGTCTTATGGTGAAATATTCTATTGCGAATGTGCTCATGGTTTTATTGGTGATATATGCGAACTCGAATTTGGTAAGTCATCGAACAATTATGATTCTGGTAGACTTCTGAGAGCATTAGTATTTCTAAAATATGTCAAAGCATCTACGTCCGATGGTTAAAAAAAAGAGTTTTTTCTTGTGCTCATTTGAAGGAACTACAGGAACAAATTCTATAAATAATTTAATAAATGTGACTTGAACTCGAGATTAAAGGTTATAAGCTGAGTTCTTTACTGCTAAGTTACATGCTGAGTCTTTACTTTGTAGCGTTTTTCACTCTGTAGGCCTATTTGTCCGTTATGTGGGAGGATTCTCATAATTTCGAAAGAGCCAGTTAATAATAACAGCTGATCTCATTTCTTTCTTTGAAATGCTGCATCGATATTTATGTCACATTGCATGTTTCTGTTCAGGTTTCACACCGTCTATTTGTACTGCATCAACCTGTCTAAATGGGGGAACGTGCGAAGAAGCCGATTTTTTACCTAGATGTATCTGTCCAGAGGGTTTCATTGGCCAACAGTGCGAGACTGATGAAGATAGTGGGCTCCAATGTGAGTCCGTCTTTATTTACTTTTTCACAATCACTGTCACCGTCCACGGTGTATCGTTCTCACTGAACATTGTATGAGCTTATCAAATTGCTAGGCTTGGTACTGATATAATGACTTTTTTCGGTGTCTCTTTCTCTCTTTTAGCAAGCCACGATGAAGATATTTACGAATCTATATGCACTGGCGTCATGGATAGTTGTATCAACGTACTTCCGTACAATCTGACGTCGTATACAGATACTATGGGCCAAGATCATACCGACCAAGACACAATGACGTCGGTCAATAATCAGTACCAGAGATCCATTTCAGCATGTGATCATCCAGATATCGAGAGTTTCTTGTGTTCAGTACTGAATCCTGAGTGCGTTCCTAGCAACGCGTTGATTGGTGTTCCAAGAACCGCGTGCAGTTCACTGTGCAATCAGATTCGATTGTCTTGCCCTGACGCACTGCCCATGAATTCATCAACGTTCCAACAGTACTGTGATTACATGATCGAGTCAGATGATATCCAAATATGTATCCCACCCTCAAACCAAGTCAATAGTTCAGAAACAGGTAACTTTTCATTTAATATCCAGAATATATTCTATATTCTATATCAGGGGCGGACTTAGGGGGGACAGGGCCGGTTCCCCCTTTTTGGAAAGTAAAAAAAAAAAGAAGGAAAAAAAAATTATCGACCAAAAAGCCTCAGGGGTTATTTAATTTTCGGCGTATAGAAAACACAAATTTCTCGGGGGAATTCCCCCGGACCCCTTAGGGTGGTATTATCTCGATCGGCCCCACTTTCGGCCCCTTTCATCTCTGGATTTTCCCCTGTATATTATTCGCAATAATACTTATTTCTTGTTTTATTTTGCGAGGACATTAAAAGTTAGGCTTATTTATCTTACCTTATCGTATTTACATTTACCAAAGTGTCACTAGCGTTTATAACTGGAATTTTTCTGCTTTTCGCTCTATGCATTTAGTGTGGAGGCCAGAGACCCAACAGCAACAACAGCAACAACACAATTTGTAAACATTGTTTAAACTGGTTTTTTTCATATGTATTTTTAAGATCATATTTGTTCCAATGTTACCTGTCATAATGGCGGTGTATGCTTCGAGTTCGAGGGAATCCCTATATGTAGATGCCAAGAAGGGTATTCAGGCAGCCTGTGCGAACTGGGTATGGTATTTTCGTTCACATATCTACACCACTAACGGCTGTACAACCTAACCACCTATGCACACATTCAAGCGCCAACTTTAACTGGTGCAGACCATGAAACGAAATGTATGCCTATTATATAATGTGAAATGATCAAAATTTCATATTTCATTAACAGCACTAATTATTACTTTCGGGAAAGTACATGCTACAATCATCCAAAAAATACAAAATATTTTTCATTATTCGCAATAATACTTATTTCTTGTTTTTGTTTTCTTACTAAGAATACACGGATCCTTGTCTCTCAACGCCGTGCTTAAACAATGGCTCATGCATCACCGATGTTACCAACTTCTACGTTTCCTACAAATGCGAATGCCTAAATGGTTTTTATGGAGTTCACTGCGAGGAAAGTGAGTTAAAGTGGAATTTTGTGGTGCCCCTTCAAAACACATTTTCCTTGGTTCAAATCCAGTAATTGCCATCAAAACGATAATAAGATCCGTTCACTCTGCAAAAAGTCGTAATTCGATTACAAGATAAGCCTATACACAATTAAATTCAGTTAGTAAAAATTGGCATTTGTCTGAATAGCAATTAGTTTAATTTCTTTATTCCGAATACAAAAATAATATTCAAAGACTAAAACATAATAACTGGCCTCAACTTATTTTTATTGTCGTCCTAAATAACTTGCAATTGAAATTTATAGTGTAAACTTGGTTAAGAGCATCATCATCATGTCTCATAACGAAACTAATTCATTAAAATGATGTAGTTTAAAGTTTACTTGTATCCAGAAGTATCTACTTGTATCTTGTACCTAGAACCTAGATCAACTGAGATTTTCGTTCATGCTTTTGTAACATCAAGGCTAGACTGTTGTAACTCATTGCTTTATGGTTTGCCAGCTAAGGATATTTCAAAACTTCAGCGAGTCTTTTTAAGCCCGATTAGGGAACATATCACACTTGTGTTAAGGCACCTTCATTGGCTTCCTGTAACACAGAGAATCACTTTTAAGATTTTGTTATTTATTTTTAAATCTCCTCATAATTCCTCGCCAATGTTTATTTCGCAACTAATTCATCCTGATATTCTTAAGAGCTCTATGAGATCTAGTTTAGAGTCTCTACTTGCTCATTCTATTCGCCCATCAACAAAGAATTATGGCAATCGTTCTTTTTCTTGGGCTTCTGTCTTCCTTAGGAATGCTTTGCCTATTACAATCCGACAGGCAACCTCCATTGTTGATTTTAAGGCAGCTTTAAAAATTCACCTTTTTAACATGTACTTTTCTTAAATTTCTCCTAGCATTTTAATTTTTATTGTTAGGCGCATTGAGGCTTTAGCATAATGCGCTATATAAGCCAAGATTATTATTATTATTAAGGGATTAGAGACATCCATATTTCAAGTTGGACCATAGACTGATTAATTACCTATATGTTTCTTTAATTATTATAATTCCTATTATAACCCTAGTGACTTAATACAAGTAACCAATAACTGTAAAACCTGAATTTTTACCAATGCGTTTTCTCATGAATGTTTGATGTGCTTGTAGGTATATGCCGTGACATGCCTTGTTCTAACGGTGGAACTTGCCAATCCTCTGGTGTCTACACTAGCGAGTGCATTTGTCCAGATGGATTTACGGGGTCGTTTTGTGAGATAAGTAAGTACATGTATGTACACCAGATATTAATTAAGTAAACACTATTGTTTTCTGAAGATGGGGAAAATAATAATTATGTTAAGAGCCATGCAGTTCTTTGAAGGCCCACTGAACATATAGGCCTATCGGTTCATGTAAAAAAAAAAACACTTCTATCAAGAACAAGCATTGTTGTTAATCTATCTATTTAGGAATACAAACCATTAAGGCAGAAGTTGTCTCAATATTAACATTACTTATAACTGTTCAATCCTCAATTTGACATCACACAGATTTGTATCCGGTCGATCCGTGCCAATCAAGTCCATGCCACAATAATGGTTCCTGCAAATCTCAAATCACTAGTCTCTACACTGCGTACTACTGCGTCTGCCATCCAGGGTTCTATGGCAGAAACTGCGAACATGGTATTTTTACAGTTATTATTATTATTATTGTTTTTGTTGTGGTTGTTGTTATTGTTGTTGTTGTTGTTGTGGTGGTGGTGGCTGTTTTTGTCTTGGTGGATATAGTTATTTTTGTCTTGGTGGCTATAATTGTTGTTATTGTGCTTATCAATAATACAATTATGATATTATCTTCAGATAATCCATGTATACCAAACCCATGCCAACACGCAGGTCACTGTACTCATAATGAAACTGGAAGTTTTACCTGTAGTTGCGTACAAGGTCATGGCGGTTTGCTTTGTGAAACAGGTGATTAAGACAGCTCTGTATTGAACTTTGTATCAACTAATCATAATTATGCATAGGCCTAATAATAATAATAATAATAATAATAATTATGAGTAGGCCTAATGCTAACTCCCCCTCCTCTCCTCATAAGAGGTATAAAATCGTGCCTGGATGATCACGAAAGAAAGTAATAGATTTGATTATATTAAAGACAGGAAATAATTTAAAATTAGTAAAACAATACGACTCTCTTTTTTGATCCTTGATGTGGACTCATTATTTTAATTACCAATTATTTTTATAATTTCAGTACTGGATCCATGCATTAGTGGCCCCTGCTACAATGGTGGAAGTTGTTTAAATGAAGGTATACGATACTTGTGCATATGCCCTCAACGATACAGCGGAGAAAACTGCGAAAATGGTAATTCTGTCTCTTATAC